CCAGGACTCCAAACTGATGCTTCCTGTTGCATTTGTGTCATTTGATTCACGATGGGGTGCTGCTGTTTGTGCGCAGACGCAGCAGAGCAAGAATCCGACATTATGGCTAACGAGTAGCGCTCCAGAGCCTCGTGATATCTATTGGAAAAACCTTGCTATACCTTTTATCTCTTTGACCATCCGGAAACTCGTGATTGGTATCTCAGTCTTTGCCTTGGTCTTCTTCTACATGATTCCAATTGCTTTCGTGCAATCTCTTGCCAATTTAGAAGGTCTTGATAGAGTTGCACCTTTCCTTAGACCTATCACGAGATTGTAAGTCTGTCCATCTATCTTGGTTTTCACTACTTGGTAAGTTAGACCGCTGATTCCATCTCCTTGGTTTTTGTTGCAGGGATTTCATCAAGTCATTCTTACAGGGGTTTCTCCCCGGTCTTGCTCTGAAGATTTTCTTGTGGATTCTCCCATCAGTTCTACTGTTTATGTCAAAGATTGAGGGATACATTGCTTTATCTACACTTGAGCGTAGAGCTGCAGCAAAATACTATTACTTCATGTTAGTAAATGTGTTCTTGGGAAGTATCATTGCTGGAACCGCGTTTGAACAGCTACATTCTTTCCTTCACCAATCACCAACTCAGTAAACAATCTTTAACCTCTTTTTAACTCTCATAAGAATTCTAACTTTGAATTGAAACTCAAAATTTTAAATGCTCTTGTTATTGCGTTTATACAGGATTCCTCGAACTATTGGGGTATCCATACCGATGAAAGCTACATTCTTCATCACATACATAATGGTTGACGGGTGGGCTGGTATTGCGGGTGAGATTCTTCGGTTAAAGCCGCTAGTGATTTTCCACTTGAAGAACATGTTTCTTGTGAAAACTGAAGAAGATAGAGTGAGAGCAATGGACCCTGGTTTTGTCGATTTCAAGGAGACTATCCCATCTCTCCAGCTTTACTTCCTCTTGGGAATTGTCTACACCGCTGTTACTCCCATTCTTCTTCCCTTCATTCTCATATTCTTTGCCTTTGCTTACTTGGTCTATCGCCATCAGGTTCGTTTTAAGACTCATATCATCAGTATCGAGTCTTACCCTCGCCTAAATTTTGGGGTTTTCTTGATGGTCCTTTCTTGGTTTACAATGCAGATCATCAATGTTTACAATCAACAATATGAGAGCTGTGGAGCGTTTTGGCCGCATGTTCATGGTCGGATAGTCGCGAGCTTGTTGATATCTCAGCTTTTGCTTATGGGGCTTTTGGCTTCTAAAGAGGCAGTTGACTCAACGCCATTGCTTATCATCTTACCCATTCTCACACTTTCTTTCCACAAATACTGCAAACACCGCTTCGAACCTGCCTTCCGACAATACCCTCTCGAGGTAAAGGAATAACCTTTTCGAGGGCACATCAAAACAGAGAAAAAGTTTTGACTTCTCTAAGGAAAACCATTCCTTACAAAACCCTGCCTTTATCACCGTCTTCCTGAAAATGTTCAAGCTTTCTTATGAAAACCTGTGTTTTGGGTCTTACCGCAGGAAGCAATGGCGAAAGACAAGTTGGAGAAGGAAACAGAACCGATGTTGAACATGAAAGCTGATCTTGCAGATGCTTACTTGCACCCAATTTTCCACTCATTTGAGAAAGAAGTACCATTATCATCATCATCGTCATCGTCAACAGAAGAAGAGACTCACCAAGAAGAGACAGCCGAGGTAAGAGTCGACAAACATGAAATACACTCGTCTAGTCCTGTGACCGAGCTCGGCACTCCTTCCCATCACCATCATGTCTACAATTCCACTTCCCCATCTTCTCACTACGCTTCAGCTTATGAGCAGTCATCGTCTCAGTATGAATATCATTACAATACTCATCAGTACGAGGAGCATGAGTACCGTTACAATTGATCGTTAGACAGAAAACAAGAAAGGCATATAAATGTCGACAAAGGTGGCTTATGACTTATGAGTGTTAGTTAACTTAAACTACTCGTTTTAAAAAATTTAATTTAAAATCTTGTCTTTTTCGTCTAGGTTTTAGGTTATTTGTTAGCTGAGTCTCATAATTGTAAATTTTTTTTTTATAGTGGTGTGATTATTAATAATTTTTCTTACAACTTTAATAAATCCTATTTATTGGTCATTAAGAAATCTGTAATTAACAAAAATATATCATCATCAAGATATTGATTATTTAATTAAGTAGAGACACCTTTTGTAACGGAAAAACCTAACCCGGGAAAGAAATATCACTACAGAGAGAAAAGACAAAAGTGGATCATCTTGTCGATACAACTTTCTATTTCGTCCATACAAAATATCGTAAGCCAATTCCAATCACAAACATCGTTAATGAAGATGAAGAAGACTACGATGTGCCGTCTCTTAGAATCACATCCACGTCGTCGTCGTCTCCATATCCATGGCTACTCCTTTAGTCACTCCTCTCTTCTCTCCTTTAGCATTTTCCCCTTCAAGGAACCGCCTTTCGAGCTCCAAAATCAGATTCGTTTCCAAAAATGGGAGAATTCTCAATTCTAATGGTGCCCAGAAGCTAAAGCTATCAAATTTTCGTAAACCCGATGGAGTAAGTAAGAGGTTTCTTCAAATGGGTTCTGACAAAGATTTGAGCTTTGAGAGGAAAATCTCAGTTCAAGCTATGGATGGTGCTGGGACAGGAAACACATCAACGATCTCTCGTAACGTAAGCTTCACGATGAAGATGTTACGTTGTTTTGTTTAGTTACCTGTTTGCTCCTTAATATTATTTTATTTGCACACCAGGTGTTTGCGGTAACGCACTTGTTGGTCTCATTGGGGATTATACTTGCTGCTGACTATTTCTTGAAGCAGGCGTTTGTAGCAGCGTCTATTAAGTTCCCAAGTGCTTTGTTTGGGATGTTTTGTATCTTCTCTGTTCTTATGATTTTCGATTCGGTTGTTCCTGCTGCTGCCAATGGTTTGATGAATTTCTTCGAGCCTGCGTTTCTGTTTATCCAGAGATGGCTTCCTTTGTTCTATGTTCCTTCTCTTGTTGTTCTTCCTCTTTCCGTCAGAGATATCCCGGCTGCTTCTGGTGTCAAAATCTGCTACATTGTTGGTTTGTGCTTTCACTCAACACGCGACTCCAAGAACTTGATCTTCAAGTCTTATTCTTTGGTAGCTTTTATGTTCCTTTTGTACTGATCCAATGTCAATGTTGAATCGAATGTTTGTATAGCCGGTGGATGGTTGGCGTCTCTTTGTGTAGCAGGGTTCACAGCTATTGCAGTGAGAAAGATGGTGAAAACCGAAATGACGGAAGCTGAGCCTATGGCGAAACCACCTCCATTTTCAACACTTGAGCTATGGAGTTGGAGTGGAATCTTTGTTATTTCCTTTGTTGGTGCTCTGTTTTACCCTAATTCATTGGGAACAAGTGCAAGAACTTGTCTCCCTTTCCTTCTTTCTTCAACTGTTCTAGGTTACATTGTGGGTTCTGGGTAAACATCAAAACCCTTCCTTTCTACTCAGTTTTCAAGTCTCGCTCGGGGTTTTATTCTCATCGTCGATCTTTCTTTTTTCCAGGTTGCCATCATCTATCAAGAAAGTGTTCCATCCGATTATCTGTTGTGCGTTATCCGCAGTTCTTGCTGCTCTAGCTTTTGGGTATGCTTCAGGATCTGGACTTGATCCTGTTTTAGGTAAAGTCACCTTTATGATACAATCTAGAGAGACCTAAACAGAAATTGAAGGCCTTGATCTTCACTGTTCTTTAAATGGCGATACAGGAAACTACCTTACCAAAGTAGCATCGGATCCGGGTGCTGGTGACATCTTGATGGGATTTCTTGGCTCTGTCATTCTATCTTTTGCTTTCTCCATGTTCAAACAAAGAAAGGTAAAACAAACAACAAAAGCTTCTCAGCATTCTTGATATGTTGTACTTTAGAAACACTGATAACAATCTTGTTTGGTTTAATTGCCCCGTCTTTCTTCAGCTTGTCAAGAGGCACGCAGCTGAGATCTTCACATCTGTGATCGTTTCAACAGTATTCTCGCTCTACTCCACTGCGCTTGTTGGACGTTTAGTTGGATTAGAACCATCTTTAACAGTATCAATCCTACCTCGCTGCATCACTGTTGCATTAGCCCTTAGCATTGTATCACTCTTTGAAGGTATAAATGCTATTCTTATTCTTATTCTTATCCTCTCCCCCTAAAACATTAAGGATACATTCCTAACGAATTCTCTTGGACAATTCAGGGACCAATTCGTCTCTCACAGCAGCTGTAGTCGTTGTGACTGGTCTTATTGGCGCTAACTTTGTACAAGTTGTTCTTGACAAACTGCGTTTACGCGACCCAATTGCTCGGGGAATAGCAACTGCATCAAGGTGACTCCTTTACAAATGATCTTTCACATTTTGAATCACAAAATTAGGCAAAAATATATCATATGACATGAACTTTCTCATTTTGTGGCCAGTGCTCATGGACTTGGAACAGCAGCATTGTCAGCTAAGGAGCCAGAGGCTCTTCCCTTCTGTGCAATTGCTTATGCTCTCACCGGAATCTTCGGATCGTTATTGTGTTCTATTCCTGCCGTCCGGCAGAGTTTGCTGGCGGTCGTCGGCTGAAGAGTAATGACATGGCTATACGTGGTCAGAATCCGGCGAGTTATCTAAATGTGGGAGCAGTGTTTTCCTTGGATGTCAAATAAAGCTAAAAAAATGCTTGTATTTTTAATATTATTTTGTAAATGTTGTGAATGTGTAATGGAAACAAAAATATGTAAATTTTTATATATCAATCGAGAAGAAGAAAAACGTCTCAAAATCTCAGTTATCATAGTGATAAAATATTCAAATTAAAAAAGAAAAAGTGTGTTTCAAAAAAAAAAAAGAAAAAAGTAACCTAACTACAAATAAATTAGTCAAATGAAACAGATCCAACAAAGGTATAAAAAGGGGCAAAAGCGTAAATAAGAAAAGAGGATGACAAGAGCCAAAAGCTGCAATGGAAGGCGTTAAGCTAAACTCTCATTTGTCTGATTTCTCTACTCTCCACCACAAAACCCAAAAATGCTACTAATCCCAGTTTCTTCTTCTTCTTCTTCTTCGTCTTCGTCTATGTAAGTTTTCTCCTTTTCAACATTCAAATTCTCGTCTTTTAAACGATTATTACTAACATCCTTTTCTACTCTTTGTTGTAGCCTTCCTCAATCTTTCTTCAATTCTACTAATTATTCGTCGAACCATCATCACTCTCTGTTCCTCTCCAATCTCAGTTACCCGATTCCTCATGGTACATATCCTTCAATCTGTTGACTTTTTTTCAGTTTCACTAATCGAATTCGAAAAACTTTGATTTGGGTCTTGGATTATATCAAGCTGAGATCACGATTCTGTTCATGTGACTTCTTTAGGAAGTAGAAAGGTGAAGTCTTTGCGGCTCAGAGCCAATTTCTGGGAATCTATTCGATCTGGGTATTACGAAAGTTTCATACTTTACTTGATCATATGAGAAATTTAGGGCTGATACAACAACAAAACCATTGATTGATTGATTCTTGCAGGTTTGTGAAGAATAACAATAGTACCCAACTTGTGGAACCACCTTCTATAGTTGATGATGAAGAAGAGACTGAACCATTGTTGCCTGTGGAGTTTACTTTGGTTGAGAGGACTCTTCAAGATGGGTTGATTGAAGAGATTATATTTTCTTCAGGTGGTGAGATTGATGTGTATGATCTTCAAGGTCTTTGTGATAAGGTAGTTCAAAAAAACTTCTTCTTTTGCTCTCTCTATTTGAACACTCTCATCTTATGCATATATAAAAAAGGTGGGATGGCCACGGAGACCGTTAGTGAAACTAGCAGCAGCGTTGAAGAATAGTTATATGGTAGCTACGTTGCATTCTGTAATGAAGTCATCATCAGATTCAGTTTCAGATTCATCAGGTGCTTATAAATAAGTAACACTTTTCTTCAGTCACTATAAGCAACATATATTATATATACCAAGAGGATGTTTTGATGAACATCTTAGCGGATTTTGGAGAAGTTATTTGACACAGAAGGCGATAATGGCCAGAAGCAGAAGGAGAAGAAGCTTATTGGTATGGCACGTGCGACGTCGGATCATGCCTTTAATGCTACAATATGGGATGTTCTTGTTGATCCTGAATATCAGGTAACCAAAACAAGGAGATGGTTTTTGCTTTCCAAGCTGTGGATTGCTTTTTCCTTGATGTTAATTAGTGTCTTTGTTTTGTTTTCAGGGTCAAGGGCTAGGTAAAGCTCTTGTTGAAAAACTTGTAAGGGCTCTTCTTCAGAGAGATATTGGTAATATATCTCTTTTTGCAGATAGTCAAGGTAACAAATATCGAATCACCCTTATGCTCCTAATCTCCTATATTGTAATAAAAAATATGGATTTGTTTGTTCTTAGTTGTTAAGTATGTGTGATCCCTTTGTTGTAGTTGTGGACTTCTATCAGAACTTGGGGTTTGAAGCTGATCCAGAAGGCATTAAAGGCATGTTTTGGTACCCAAAGTAGTACTTGGTGATTGCAAGAGAAGGGGATTATTATTTGTTTGTATACCTTTTGTGCTTTCTTATATAAATCTATAAGGAAGTTTGAAACTGTGTAATTTGTAACTCATAGATTAATTTGTCTATTTGAGAATTCAACAGAGTATGATCAGTAGAAAGTAACTTGTTCCCTTCTTTACTTAGGTTGATGTTGATTCTTGGTTTCAATCTATTTGATGCTGTAAAATATAAAATTTTGGTGGATTGATAAAGGCCTTCTATAAACTGAACTGTTATTTTTGCTCTGCTATTAACTTCTCTACATTACAGGCTTTTCTTTTTATCTCCACACAAATTACAAACAAGCAAGACCGTCCTTTTCGCCAAGAAAATCCGCGGTATACAACGCATAAGAAAAGAAATAAGAAAAGAAGAAACTGCGGATGGATTTATCGACGCGTTCTATTTGGCATCTCTTTGTTTGTTTTAGGCTTTAGCAGCTTCAGCACGAGCAGTGGCTTTGTTGGCAATGAGCTGCTCGTAGAGATCTCTGATCTTCAATCCAACAATTGTTTGGAATAGACCAGTCCCGTTGTTGCTACCCGGGAAATCAGCATGCTTGAGCATTTGTTGAGTGACTTCACCATAGAATTTGGTCGACAGGTTGCTCAGATGACTCTCCACGTAAATCAGCTCATCCAGTCTATCAAATTGTCCATCCATCTCCAAAACCGATACCTAGGAGAAACAAAAAGAGAGACCGGAGCTAAGAAACTGAAATCATATGTAACAAGACTATGTGATTCCTCATGCATTTATCTATCTTACATTTTCATTGCTTTCTCAGAATCATTATGCAATATTACCTATGGAAACAGATAAATGAATGTACCTCATGGTCGAAGTAGGAATCAGGTTCGTAGTTGAACTTGATGCCAGGGTACGAGCAGGTGAGTTTGCGGCCGCAAGGGATCCAAGAAATGGTTGAACCTTCATCGAATAGGTAAACCGGGCTGAAGTACTTAACACCTTCCTTCATTATCAGTCTCACTCTCAACACTTTCCCTTCATTGTCATCTGGAATCAGCTGTGTAGGAAGCACTTCAATGACCGCATCAGCGTACTGCTTTTGCGGGTCTGTATAAGCCATTGATGCTTCGTTAAAACCAATCACGCAGAAAATGACAGGGGATCACACCAAGATATTAGAGTGTTACATACCAATGAATGCATCGAAGTCAGGCTTTCGTGCTTCGATACTTGCTTTGATGCTCTCCAAACTGTGACCTCTTTCAGCCATGTCCCTCTGTGATCATCAAGATTTGGTTTATACAATAATCAAAAACATTCGAGTAAATGGTATATTCAAAAGAAACGAACCTGAATTTTCCAAGCGAATTTGACTTCGTTGCTAATGTCTAAGTAGATACTGAAGTCAAGTAAGTCTCTTACTCTCTCATCAAACCTTCACAAGTAGAGAGATAAATATTATTATAAAAAAATTAATAAAACATTACAACTACCCAAAACTATATACTTAATGATTCGAATTAAACGGTGTCACACTACATGCATAGGTTCAAAGATCCATCTTTTAATATTCCGATACTGATTCTTACATAAAATCTATGTCGAAGATTCTTAACCATCCAAATTCCGACAAGATAAGAGACTTCCAAACTCGAAGATATGAATTTGTCTGAGAGACAAAACAGAGTATTTGTGGCTTACATTGGGTGAAGACCTTCGATGACAAGAATCTTAGGGGGCTGGATAAGCTCCGGCGCGTCAAGAAGTCCAGTGACATGGTTGTAAATCGGTTTCTCGACGGCGATACCATTCTTGAGAGCCTTGACTTGCTCATACATGAGATCAAAGTCATTGGCTCGTGGGTCTAGAGCGGTGACCTTTTGCTCTTTGCGACCATACCTGTCCAAGGAATGGTAATCATCAAGACAGATCACAGTGGTGGTGTCGCTGATGAGTGTGTTGGAGTCAGGGTTCCCGCCTTTCGGTGGCTTGGCAGCACCACCGAAGACGCTGGTGAGCCTCCGCATAAAGGTACTCTTACCGCAGCCAGAGTCGGCAGCGAGGCCGATCACGATGGTTTCTTGAGAGCAAGTGATGAGAGTGTTGAATCTACGGTTGGTTTGTGGTTGACGACGGTAGAGGAAGACTTGTTTGGAGGAGGAAGAAGAGGTTAAGAAATGAGTTGAATTGAGAGCTTGTGTTGAGTAGATGGTTGAGACAGCCATTGTTGTTAGTTGTTTTGGTTCCCTCTTCTTCTCCGCCCTAAGCTCTCTCTCTCTCTTTTGTTTGAGTGTTTTTTTTATGTGAGAGTCAGGTTGAGTGATGAGGATTTAGGATAGAATGAAAGAAAAATGTGGGTAACGATTTTTGATTTTATGGGTTATTGTGTGGTGATGTAAAGATGTGGTTTCTATAAAAAAAGGAAAATATAAAAAAGATGGGGAAAGAGAGAAATGAGAGGAGGACAATGGGTGTATAGGGGAAAACAGATGTCAAATTGCAAAGAAGAAAATGAAGTTTTGTTTTGGTTTAATGTGGGTTGTAAGATGATGAGTGGCTCATGTGTTTTGGGTTTTCTTGTAAGTAAAAAAATATGTAAGTTTGTAACTGTTGGTTTAGTTCTCTGTTTTTAAGATAATTGTTGATAAGATAAGTGGATTGTAGAACATTTCTAGCCAATGAAAATCCAAGCAACGTATTCTAATTACTTCATGAAGTGATAAACTAATAATTAACTTAGAACAATGAGTTTGGGAAAAATATGGAGTTTAGGAGAGAGGAGTGGAGTAGCCGATGAAGTGATAAAACTAAACACAGGGCATGGAGGGAGATGCTTGCTTGGTGGTTGTTTGATTATCTTTTCTTTTGGGGTTTTGGATATTTGAATTGACACGTGGGTGATTATAATTGGAGGGATGGGGATTAGGTGCTTAAGGTCTCAAGTTGAAGGAGAGTGTAAATATGTGGGTCTCATTGACACGTCGTCGTATATCCTCCCCTTTTAGGCTTCGAATCTTTATGGTCTTTGAACCACTTATCATTTCTTGCATTTATATTTTTTGTTCTTAAAGGACCAAAGCCTTCTTTTTGTTGCATTAGCTTGACAAATGGGCTTCAAGCATTTAGCTACCCAATTAGTAAAAGACGCCAAAGTTTTATTTACTCATGAATTTCACCGTACGGTAAATATTTACGCGTAACGAAATTGCCTTTATTATGGTTGATTACACCATGATTTATCGACCGAGAGCATCGGCACTTGTTGCATATTCTTAGACCGAATGTGTGAATGTAGTAGTCTCCACCATTAGTTTTGACTAAACAAATTTACAAAGGGGCAGATGACCAAAATAGGCGAATTTGCTTGGTTAAAAGGCAAAAGCCTAAGAATTATTACTGTTATACGCAATGATAATCATACAGAGACCAGAATTTAACATCCGGACAAAAGCGAGATGCTAGTAATAATAATTCATGGCTATGATTTTTTTTTGTCTTAATATTTCACTTCGTCGAAAAAAAATCCCAAACGCTCAGAGACAATACTGGTACCAGAGAAGAAGAGAGTACAACAAAACCTAAAGAAATGGCCGAACAACCACTCTCTCTTGCTACTATAGTAACTAAAAATTTACCTCAAATCAACACAGCGCATCCAATGGTAAAATGGTAATTACATTCATACTGAGATACACATATTTCAAACCTTTTTATCGTAAGGGTAAAATTACCATCATCCTCTTCTCTTTATCTCCTTTTCACTTGTTTCCCCTAAAGTAGAGGTAAATTTTCTACAGAGCCAAAATGAGAAAACAGATCGGTTCAGATGTTTCTGCAGAGTCAACAGTTATCGAAAAAGCCATGAAAAGTATGATCAGAGTCTTACCTGAAGAACCCATAGACTCAAAAGTGACTCCAAGCAGAAAAGACCAAACCCGATAAAGTAGAAGATCTGCAATCATTCATTCAGGTCAGACACATTGAAAAATATATAATAGGCTTCGTGAATTTAAAAAATGGATGTTAAGCTCATACCCCAGCTAATAAACTGTCTGACATGACATCAATTGCTGCAAGCACACCCCTGTAGATCAAAAAAGACAATGGGAATAATGTTAATCTTAAGGCAACAAAACATGAATACAATATAGAGCATTAATTTAACATGGTTGTCAGGTTCTCTGTCTACAAAATATTTACAGAGGTGAAACACACATAGATTCTCACTTATTCCGGTTGTCATATCATTCTTAAATACAAGTCAATGTTTGCCCCAAAGAAAAAACAAATAACAAGTCAATATCAATAACTATCGAACCAATTTAGAACTGTCCAGGTGAGACCCTCCCCAGACTAACCAACTACATATGAAGTACCAGAAAAATTGTAGGATATGGTTGGAAGACTTACGTTAATGACTTTCCATGGAAAAAGATCGGAGGGGCAATGGCGGCAACGATACAGAAGCCAATGTGAATCTGTGAAGAACCAAGGTCAATCATATGATAACTGGGAAGTCTACCTGATAGTAGATATTAGATAAGATATAAATTAAATCTGACAAGTTTTTTTGTAAACTCACCAAGTAGGTGAAGAAAAACCAACCAAACTTCAAAGCGCTGTCAGTCCTACAAGGTAAAAAAAAAACATTTCAATTTTATGGCCCTGTCTGTTAAAGTAGTATCAATGCGCGGTGGAAACTGAACCACAACCATTGGAAGTTAAAAGGACTAATACCTCATGGCTCGGTAGAGAGGCCTGTACCATAGTACATAAGAGAGTGGACATCCGATCAAAGCATATATCGTGGCAAGGAAAAAGATTTTAACACCTATCATTGGTAATCCAAAAACCAGTAAGTTCAACCAAATCCAACCAGAATTTCATGAAACAATTATAACAGAGTGTAGGCTCACCTCCGCCTTTAATCCAGCAGACCATCGTTGCAATGACATTAAATACCAGACACAGAACTATACCTGAAATTTTAACACTCAAACAGTCAAATACAACCATACAAGCCCGTCAATCCAACACATAAGATACATGTTCCAAAAAAAAGAGACACACTAAATTAGACTTACCTAACCAACTAGCAAAAGCTAGATACTGCAGCTTTTGTGCATGAACTGGTATCTCGTTAGCAATGTCATGGTGTATGATTGGGAAAAACGGTGGCCAGTTTTTGTCATCTATCTGCACACCAGCTGCAACACAAATTTAATGACTATGGTTAGTTATCATCCACGACAACATTCACAGAGATATATCGTTTGGAACAAGTCAAAACTAAAGAATAATACTGTCATCAAGTAGTCATTTGCTTACATTTAGCAATAGCTTCCTCTCTTCGCTTGATATCCTGAGTGAACATTACACAAAAGAACATCAATCAGCAGAAAATAAAAAAGCACAGTGAAGATATGTTGTACGAAAATCATAACAATTGTACGGACCATTTCTTTCTTCCTCAGCTCTGATTCCCAGTCAGCAAGCTTTCTCTGTTTCTGTGAAGAGTCCTGCACCAATAAAACACATATGTAAGATAAATCCAAGTGAGAAAAGTTCACGAGTCTAGTAGATATAAATGTCATTACATTCATATTATCCAATGGAATATCAACAGTAGCATCAAGGCTTTGGCCATATTCAACAGGTCTAGATGCAGCAGGAACTCTTCCACCACCTTTCTGCAAAATTAATCAAGAATGACAACAATCAATAAACAATCAAATGTCAAGTGTGAATAACACAAAGAAAACTTCAACATCGAGTAACATACTCCAAAACTAAAGGAATGAGTCTCAATCATCTTCAAATTTTCGAGAAACACTCCAAACAAATTAGACGAAATAATACTGCTAATTTCTACAAATTGTTTAACCTAGCTTCAGATCCACAATAAACTATACGAATGATTCACACAAGCATCACTGAACTGTATAAACCAAACTCCAAATCGGACGAAATTACTCGCTTTGACACTACTAAATTCCAGAATTTCTTTTACTCTAGTTTCCAGATCCATGGATACAGTTCAGTATTCCGAAGAAACATCGAGAGATCTATAACCTAAACACTGTTAAGATCATTTTTCAGATTAGAAATGAGCCTTCCGTAATTAAACTGACATTACACAGTCCTCAGTCGTCAGTCCTCTGCTATTTTCCATATGCACAAACTAAGTGAAAATCTCGATGTAAGCGAGAGATCTAGATTCCTCTACCGTCGCAAACGCAGAAATTTCAAAAATAGAAAACGAAAGATTCAGGGAGAAGAAGAAGGAGAAAGAGAGAGAGAGAAGGAGCATTTACCGAAAAAGGATTGACGATTTCTTCTTCTTCCTCATCGAAAGGGTTGGGATCGTGGTGGCGATTCATTGTTGGTTACAGATTCCTAGATTCACGAAACTGATAGATTTGGTTTCCGATAAGATCGCCGAGATCCGCCGAGGAGTTAAAGAAAGAGAGATGAAAAATAAAGATGAGCACCGACTGTGAAGCGAACTGATATGGACCGACTTTTTTTGTTTTTTTTTCTCTTTTCTCTTTTCAAATATACACACACGAAACGCGGCGTTTAGTATATGGGCCGTTTTGGTTACTTGGTCCAGAGATCAACAAAGGCCCGACTCGTACTTGATAATAATAATATTAACGATTAGGGTTCGAAACACTTGATTTAATGCAATAAAATACTAAAACCAAATTAAAAAAAAAAAAAAAAGCAATATATGCCTTGATACAACGAGTCAACGACGACGTAGCTCTAAAATCATCATCATTACACAGGACTTAAAAAAAATTATTGACGTAATGAAACTTACAAGAACATAATTTCAAGCTATATACGTACTATAGTTGAGAGGTTTGGTCCGACGGATTTGCCTCCCCAGGGTGGTTATTAATCTCGACCCAAATGAGCTTTGTTAAAACGACATACATGATGAAGAAGAACCAAACAAGCCATAGAGGAGCTACGATGAGAGTGAAGATGGGAGAAACAAGGGAGATTAGCGTGAGAGCAGCGAGAGCACCAAACAGATGGCTGACGTATCCAACAAAGTGACGGATCGTCTGATCAGGTTGGTTAGTTGTGAGCTTCACTTCAATGACTGCTAGGACGGCGTAGATCAGAAAGAAGACGCAGAAAGAGAAGATAGTGATGTGTTTATTATCAGCAGCATCAGTTGACTGGTCTGCAACCTGCAGCAAAGCGATGGCTCCGCCGTTCGTAAGAACGATATGCCTGTGCACCGTGGAGGAGGAGTACACCTCCGTGTTCTTATCGCCGGAGTTAGAGAATTGTGTGTTGGACGACATTTAGTTGATTTTTGTTGGTGTGCCGGAGTTAAAAACGTGTTGTAGTTTGTTTAATTTTATGCCTGTCGAATTTTATTATATAGAGGCAAGTATTTATCACTGAGAGCGACTCTTTTGTCTCATTTATACACGTCGACTGTCAAATCTGCTGCAGAGAGCGACTTTATAAACGTCAGTTTGTACTCATTTATAAACGTCAGTTCTTGCAAAAAAAACTTTTGTAACCACGTCAATTTTGGGGGGACATGTTACTAATAAATAGTATGTCCAATGGTAGTATGCTATCAAAATCTTTTAGTAATTTTTTACTAATAAATAGTAGAATTTTTGAAAATAAGAACTTTTTCAATATAATTAAAATTATCCACCTCCAATGGTAAAACTCTTCATTGGAGTTCTTAAAAAAAAAACATAATATAAATATAACTAAAACATAATAAAACACATAATACAAATTATATTTTAATTGTTGCCAAAGTTTTGCTAAATATTTTTAACCAGATCAGACAAAAGATAAAATTGTTTTGTTGCCTGAGAGAACACGATAGAGAGATGAAGAGTTTTTTGTTTTGGTCGAAAAAGATCTTTGGTTGGAAGAGAAAGATAATTTCAAAAATACATCTTTTCAAATACCACTTTTTAAAAATATTCCATTTTCAAACTTTATCAAAAAACCATTGAAAAAATTGAACTTTATCCAAATATTTATCCAAATATGTGTGTGACCTTATAAGTATACACAAAAAAATTATATATATTTCATAAATAGCGTAAAAGTAATTTATAAGAACTTTTAAAAACCTTATAAACCCTTTTAAAAACCTTTTTAAAACTTTATAAAACTTGTATAAAAGATTTAAAACACTTTAAAACATTATAAAATATTTGTATCGAATCTCCCAGTAGTATTTATTATATATAAGTATTTTATAAACCATATAAAACTTTATAATTTTTATATTTAAATAATTTTTGTTTTTTTTCTTAAACTCTCTTGTACTGACACGTGTCTCTAAGAAATTATCTCAAAACTTCTTAATTAAGAGATATCTTTTAGCTTAATATTGATTTTTTATTTATTTTTTGCCCTTTTATTTTTAAGATATTAGTTAAAAACCCTCCATTGGACATGGTGTTAACTAGTAAAAGGTGCTTTAAATTAAATTAATAATATAATTATCATTAAACTACTCAAAATCAACCCATTAACAATTTTAAACAAAATAACCTTCCACTAGAAAACATTATCAGAGGTACTTAATCATATTTATAATATATATATTTATATCAAACTTAAATAAATTAACAATACAAAAATTAAAATTACATATATTACATTAAAAAAAATACTTTACAAAAATTAAAATTACACATATGCAAAATTAAAATTAAAATATTTTCCTATTTAATTTGTTTCATTGACTAATTGGACATTCTGGCCCAACAATCGTTATTTTTAGAGAACTTGTTGCACCAAGATAACTGTAACTAAACCATACTGCTGAACTAAAATTTTAATTTTGTGGTTACACACATACACCTTAAAGTTTCTGTTTTCAGACATGTTTTCATTACTTGCATTTGTTTGTGTGTCATCGGACAATTGTGGACTGAAATGAAAAATATTGGACAATCACTTTAATTCTCTTAGAAAACCTGCTTTTTAACCTACAAAAATCCTCTAAATCCAGAATTTGAAACTAGGATTTCGTTTGTTCAATACACTATGGTAGTTTGTACATTATACTATCTATACACATGTAAAATTCAGTGAGCAGCTTAATTCAGTTTTTTCCTTCGAAATCTATATGACATCTATATGAAATCCTATTTTATATTTTTTTTCTTTATGCGGTAAAATAAATCATATTTTATTTAATAAAATAGAAAAAAAAAACAAGAAAGAAAAAGTAATAACAATTATCTTGAATATGTATTATTACGTATGATTATGTGAGCAACAAGTTTTTCATTGTTTTAGTGGGTAAACACTATTCGCCTTTTATAGTAAGATTCTACGAATTTTGATCAGTACGTTACATTTTTATTTGTTTGAAAAGGGGATAGAGAATATTTTTATTGGAGGCAACTGCTCTTATCTTAATTGATAATTAGATACGTCCGACACATGATAGCTGCCCTAATTTTTCTTTTTAAATAAGGCCTTTATGTAGTATTAATTTTTTAAAAATATGTAACCTTATCAAGTTTCCTTAGTACAGAATTAATAATTTTGTTTGATTTTTCAACACGATAGTTATGTGACGTTTCATACGTCGAGGAGCGTGATTGCGTGAAGAGTCAACGATTAAATATCCATTTTTCTTGTTAAACATAGCGAGTGTTTATTTGCAGCAATTTTATCGAACCAATGTTAATAAATCACATTTTGTATCATATATATGTTGATTAAAAAGCAGCTTCAAAATTAGTATGGTTTATAATTTGATACTATTTAATTGATGCAGCAAGTGAGTGGCTCTACCACTTTGGAAGAAAAAAAAAGTACTATATCATTACACAATGATCAAAATGTTTTTGCCTTTATATATAAAAAGCCAGGTCACGAATGTGACATTTATAATTAATTTTCTTACAAGCTACCTCTGGCCTAACTCTGTATATATTATTTATGAGAATCAATTGCTATAGGCTCTCCGCACTTTGTAACGAAATACATATAAATGAAAATTGCATGAGGTATTGAGGTCACCTGTCACATGCAATAAGACATATTCAGATGAAATTAAAATACGTGAGATTTCGTAACACTAAGAAATATGCACGAGTTCTATATAAGTTCTTTTTGTTTATAACTTGTGTTCTATTATAAGAAAAACAACTTTACAAACTGAACTTAACATTCATACACCAAAAACAAAAAACAAAAAACAAAAACTATACAAACTTCAAAGTAGTCTCCGCAGCCGTCCTAGTTATCTTTTCAACCATCCGATCCCCTTGGACTGTTTTAACTCTTCCTTGGCTACTGGCTACTGCCCTTCATCCATATCTAAACCAGGAAAAATTAAACCGGTGCCGACTGAGGTAAACCGGAACCAGATTTGTATTTCTCCGAATAGATGATTATGACGTCACTGAAATTTTTGTAGACGACAGTGCAAAGCCAGAGAAACCAAAGAGCCAAAAGGACCATGGCGAACGTGGTACAAACCACGGAGAGGAGCACTAGAGCAGCTAGACCGCCAAAAAGATGGCTCGCGTGTCCAGCGAGCCTAGGGACTAACCCTGGTCGTAGGCGCATGTATATCACTTCACGGACGCGGAGAACAGCGTAGACCAAAACAAGGACACAGAAACTGAGGAATGAGGCTTTATGCGTTTCAAAAACAGATGAGTGTTGGCTAACAAGCTGGAGTAATGCTAGAATCCCGGCGTTGACCATGACGACAACTTTGTGGACTGCGGAGGAGTATGTTGTGAACTTGGCCGTTTCATCGTCGGAGATGGGGAGTAATGTTTGGTTATTGACAGAGTCAGTCTCCATATCATATTATTGTTTTTTTTCTTGTGCCTTTTTTTTTTTTTTTCTCTTACACATCTATCTTATGATTCTCTTTTTGTTTTCTTTATCTTTCAAGACGATAGCAATGGGACGTATTTATAAGAAGAGGACATGCCAATCCATTCGTTCGACCCGTATGAAATGATGACCCGTCCGATTATTTCGGTAGTGACCAACTTTAATAACCTACCAAAGTCAATATTTTTTCAGACTGCTTTTCGAAAAGTGACATTTTCATGGTGTCACTTTATATACCCGAAAGATTAATTACTACTAAAAATAACTAACGGTAGTAATTAAAATCCCTTAAAATTCATACTAAAGAACAAGAGTTAGAGAGAAAAACCTCACATTATAAATCTTCGATTTCAAGTTCGAAAATTTATTGAAATCGTAGTTTTAATGTTGCACAAAAATTAACGATCTTGATCAGAATCATCTTCGAGGAAACTTCCTTGCCTTCCTTTCGTAGGATGGTGCGGGCGACAAGCAAGTTCTCCCTTGTCTTCCTTGTGTGGACTTTTTCTTCCGGCACTTTTAGTTTCAACTAAGATAATATCTTGCACTATGTAATCGATTATTTATATAAAACCAGAAATTTTATTTAAAAAAATGACATCTTGCTCTTTTCTTATTATATAATATATAATAGCGCACTAAGTACTTAACCGACCTTTGTCTCAAGTAACTAAACAAAAATACGTAGTCATTTCACAAGGGGAAGCGCCGCTAATTCACAGTAATTGTTGATTGTGTGGTTTTTTATTTATTTATTAGAAATACTGTATATACATTTCCCATCTATTTTCAATTTGGTCTTATATTGTTTTTGAATGACCATTTTATACTAATTTAACAGTATAAAGCCGAATAGAATGAAAAGGATGCGTCGTCAATCGCTGAAGCATCGACAAAAAAAAAAGAACACGGCTATAAGCAATAAGAACAAACCCGTACGCCTTGAGAGTTTCTCATTTGTATCCCAAAATCTGGGATTTTAAAGTCGATTGCAAAAATGACAACATGAGCTAGTTCTATAGCGCACTAAACATACCTTGTAAAATCATTTTATAAGGTTTTTTGTAACATTTTACAAGATTCGAGCTATAAATTGAGGAAAATGCTATAAATTGTAACATTTTACAAGATTCGAGCTACAAGATTTTTTTTTGTATAAATAATTTTTTACGTTGTAGTAATTTTTTTAGCGGATTTTTTTTTTTATTATTGACTTAATTATATGTTGTGTCGTTATGAGCACTCACAAGTGTGTGAATGGGGGATTTATGTTTTTTGATAAGCAGAGGAATTTCCCCACATCTAATACTAAATTGATATTTCTGTATGAGTTTTTAATTGATTTTCTATCTATTTAATTTTTTTTATATGTAAAATAACTAACCCTAATTAAAATCCCTTACCTATTTTATTTGGCAAGAGAAGAAGAAGTAATAAGAATTGTATCTTGATCGGGAAATCTTGCCTGTGGTGACGCTTCAGCAAGATCTTCAAGCTTTTTGTTATTACATATGAATATTTAAGCAACAAGCTAGATTCTTCCTTGTTTTAGTGGGTAACACTGTTCGCCTGTTTTAATAAGATTACTAGGAATGGACCCGCACGTACGTGCGGGGTTGATTTCAAAAGTTCGTATTACATACGTGCGTGCGTAGTTGATTTCAATATATTACATATATGCAAGGTTAAGTTTGTAAACATATTTTTAAATAATAGTATTTAATTCATAATTAGAAGAATTCGTACCAGTTTCATGTTGTTTTTAATTCGATTTAGATAAAGAAATTATCAGATTTGTTTTTGTTAAGTTAAGAACATTACATAAAAGAGAAATAGTAAAAAAAACCAAAAATGTGACTATTTCATAACCGTAGAGTCCCATCCATATATATCATGATTTTCCATCTTACAATAGTGGTTTGAATACTCATTTGAGATTATATATTTTAGTCTAACATATAAAAACAATAGGTATCTATTCAGAGCCACACATACGTTTGCTTTGCTTTCTTCAAATTTTTGAATGTTTGAAATAATAATCGCTTTAAATCGACATGATAGCGGACACGGATCAAGTGTAAACCTGATTAGTGATATTCTAGATTTCTATATAAATCGTAAACTATCAAACCAGGTAAAAACAACAAAAAACACTAAAAATTCTTGAAACAAATGACCTAAATAAAGTTGTCAAGCGAGTTAAACTCGTCCGCTATGTCTGGCCTGCAACGAACTAAAATATTTTAACCCGCAAAAAACCCGTTATCAAAATTCACATGAGTAAATAGTATCTATGTATCT